TTTTGGGCCCATGTTATATGAATCTCACTCCTAATAGGTCTTAAAATGACTCGCATGTTTAGCGATGCCCTAATGGCTCACTTACATGGTTCGTTGGACCTGGAATGAGTTTTATACGTTTATCTTCGCGTAAATTCGATTAAGGATCTAGTGAGTTTTTGTCGGTTGACACCTATTAAGTGTTCGATCGTAGCCTGTAGTTATAATCAGAGTCTCCTGGAGGGAGAGTGGGGTTTTGTATATAGATCTATACGGGGGTGACACCTCACACCTGAGATGTTCGCTACAGTTAGACTACATCAGTCTAGGGTGACTATAACCTTATTCTATTTTTCAGTCGGCGTTCACAAACGCCAAGACAGGTGAAATTGTCATTATTTAACATGGTTATAACGGCTCACTTAGAGGAATTAACGTTATGAAGTTTACGGAAGACCACTCTTTTTTTTTGGATTACTCGGAAACATACTCTCACTGGTACCCCACCTCGGTGTTGGTACGACAACATTATCTATTTTCTGTTATGATTGGATCACTCGGTAACTTACTCACATTGGTACCCCACCTCGGTGTTGGTACGGCAACATTAACTATTTTTTTTACGGGCAACATCGGGTTGTCCGGGGACATTCTATATACATTCTCTTCAATCACTTTTGACATTCTATTAAACAATAACACACATGCATTAATACAAGATCATACATAAACATACCAAACTATTTTAAGAAAATACAGGATTTTCTTGTGATTACAGAGTTATACAAATCATTTTATCAAATATACTTATGAACTCACCAACATTATATGTGTTGACCGTTTTCAAAATAACTTGTTTTCTCAGGGACTCGTTAAGCAGAAGAATCAACAAGATTAGGGGATTCGGTTTTGTGTACTGTCAAACATCATACATTGAATGTTTTGGTCATGTTATTTAAAAGATTGTACTTGATGTAAACAATGACAGTTGTATTATATTATGCATGGTAATGATGATGTTATATTTCATTTATATTCACTGTAATGATATTTCAAGATGAAGTCACGCACAAGCCCCCGGACGTTTCCGCCGTCTGGTTCGGGGGTGTGACAAATAATGATTGTCCTTATGAAGTCCCAACTCGTCATATGGGACGAGACAAAACAAAAAGAAAACTGAAAGGAGTACAAAGTTTCATCAACTGAAACGGAGGAGATAAGAAACTCAATCAAATGGTTAGACGATAAGCTTGAGGGTTTTTTGGAAGTGGGAAAGTTAAAAGAAACAAACCGTGCTAGAAAGGAAAAGAACTGTGTGTTAGAACTTTACTTAAAACCCATGGGAGATCAATTGACTGAGGAGGAACGTCGGGTTATTATCAACGCCAAGCGGGATCTCGCTAAAGATTACAACTGGGAGTAGTCGTGTGTTTTGTCTATTATTAAGTCGTAGTTTTTTTTACGTCGTGTGTTTCGTCTACTAATAATGTAATCTTTTTTAATTAAATTTTAAGTGTTTGATTCAACCGAAGCTTCTACCAAATATTTTAGAGTGGACCCCGAGTTCGAGCTCCGCAAAGCGGACAAACCCAGCTCCCAAGAAGATTTTCAGAGGAAATTCCCCCACACATGGGGCATATTTGCAAGAGGCACACAAATTGTGCTTTACCGGGTTTGAAACCCCGACCTCAAACCCAAATGGGAATGTAAACACAATGCATCAAGCGAGTTGAAGTGGCCATCACTTGCGAAATTAGAAATTAAGTTTTGTTATCATTTTCGTTTAATAGAAGCACTGCTTAAATTAGAAATTAAAAAGAACTTCATGGATATTAATTGAGATTGTGAGTTACCTCATTCTTTGTTTCATTGTCCCTTTTTTTCTTCTTCTAAATCGCCATAAAAATTATGTTTTAAAATATATAGACTTTAATAACAGAATTTATAATTCTACGTTTCTCGACGGGCATACGAAAAAGAAAAAGTCCATTTTTTTAAACATATATAACTAGAAATTATATTTTACAATTAATTCAAATTATGATTTCAAATATCTACACAACTTCTGGCCCAAGTGAAGGTTCGTTTATTATTACTTTGGTGATATTTTAAATTTAAAATAGGATTATTTCGTCACCAAATGGACTATGATTGGCCAAATTGTTGCCATTTACAATATTTAAAAGAAAAGTGAGCTAAATGACAAAAAGACATCATCCATCATCTTGAATTCTTGATTATTAACTCTAATTTATTTTTCCTAATTTTCATTATGTGATAATTTATTTGGCTAATTTATTCATTGATGGAGATGATTAGAATTAGTGTAAAATGTTTTGTTATCATTTTTATTATATTTTTGAGAATCCGAGTTGGTTAAATTTTATCCATTTGTATTATATTTCAATTTTGTCGGTCCATAAATAAATCTATTAGCAAACACTTTTTAAGTTTTAAATTTTATTATATGACATTTTAATATTTCTACTTTACATTCCTTTATCAAAGATAAAGTTATATATAAAAAATTAATATTTTATAATTTTATGAGGTTATATATAGTGTAGTCTATTACTAATAATGTAATAAACTTAATCTTTTAATATCAGAGTATCTTTGTATAAACTAAAAACATGATCACATAATTTAATAAAAATCTATATGATAATAATTATAATATATTATTGTAAAACACGAAAATTAGTAGCACAAATAAATTATTAACTTTTTTTTTTTGTTTGTTTGTTTTTTTTTTTTTTTTGCTATTTATTGTTCTTTCGTTTCCTTCGTCGACACAAAGTCCTAACAGCAGTCTCCCACCACCACACAGGCGCACACCACCGTACAAATCAAACCCTCTTTGATTCCCTACAATTCGAATTCTTCATTGTTCATAAAAAAGATTCAAAACTCTTTTCCATTTCTAGATTCTCAATTGAATAAGCAACCAATATTTGATAGTTGTTCATGGAGCAGCCGGAGAACGATTCTGTATCTTATGAAACTGCCGAACAGATCATCCTCCGGTGGGACGCTACGGCTGCGGAAGACGCCAGGGTTCGAATGATCTTTGAAGGTGATCGCCAAGAGATTGATCGATACTTACAAGCAGTCGATCGAATCCAACTATCCATGGAGTCAACTACTCTATCGGACGATGACGGAGCCGCCGGAGTCCAGGAGCAGTCAAAGAAAATCAATGGCGCTATTCAGATTGCCATGGCTAGACTTGAGGATGAGTTCCGTAACATACTCATCTCCCACGCTAGTCCCGTCGAGACAGAGACACTCACTGAGTCGATGTCATCGGCTCACTTGACTCCTAGAACCAGCACCTCCATTAGCGAGTTTCCAGGAAACGACGATTACAGCAGCCGAGGTGATGAAGACTCCATATCCAGAGACGGTTCTTCTTCTCTAGAACGAGGCGAGAGTAGCAATACAATCTCGAGCTACAGATCTATGAGTAGTATTCGCGAGATAGATCTGATTCCTTCGGATATCGTATGTGATCTTCGCAGCATCGCGGAGCGTATGATCGCCGCCGGCTACTTCCGGGAGTGCGTTCAGGTGTACGGTAGTGTTCGGAAATCCGCGGTGGACGCGTGCTTCAAAAAGCTTGGAGTTGAGAAATTAAGTATCGGCGATATCCAAAGGATGGAATGGGAGGCTTTGAATGCGAAGATTGGGAAGTGGATGCGTGCAGCGAAAATGTGCGTTAGGGTTTTGTTCGCGAGCGAGAAGAGACTCTGCGAGCAAATCTTCGAAGGTTTAGGAACGGCGGCAGACGACGCTTGTTTCATGGAAACGGTTAAAGGTCCGGCGGTTCAACTGTTTAACTTCGCCGAAGCCATTAGTATCAGCCGTCGTGCTCCTGAGAAGCTATTCAAGATCCTGGATTTACACGATACCTTGTTTGATTTGTTACCTGATATCGACGCTGTTTTTGACGGAAAATCAGCCGAATCAATTAGAGTTCAAGCGACGGAAATATTCTCGAGGCTGGCGGAAGCTGCTAGAGGAATGCTAAACGAGTTCGAAAACGCAGTTCTTCGCGAACCTTCTAAAGTTCCTGTCCCTGGAGGAACGATTCATCCATTAACCAGATACGTGATGAATTACATAAGCTTAATTTCAGATTACAAGCAAACCCTAAGCGAATTAATCGTGTCTAGACCTGCAACTGGTTCTCGATACTCAGACGATCAAACTACTCCAGACATGGATTTCTCAGACCACGAAGAGCAATCGCCATTAGCACTCCATTTGATTTGGATCATAGTGATTCTCCAATTCAATCTAGAAGGAAAATCCAAGCACTATAAAGACAATTCCCTCGCTCATCTCTTCATCATGAACAACGTCCACTACATCGTCCAAAAAATCAAAGGCTCACCGGAGCTGAGAGAGATGATCGGAGATCATTACCTGCGAAAACTCACAGCAAAATTCCGGCAAGCTGCAACAAGCTACCAACGAGCAACATGGGTAGGAGTACTGTATTGTTTGAGAGACGAAGGGTTACACGTGAGTGGAAGTTTCTCATCTGGAGTTTCAAAAACTGCTTTGCGAGAACGATTCAAATCCTTCAACGCCATGTTTGAAGACGTTCACAAAACTCAAGCTTTATGGCTAATACCAGATACACAGCTTCGTGAAGAGCTAAGAATCTCCATTTCTGATCTACTAATTCCAGCTTACAGATCGTTTCTTGGGAGATTCAGGAGTCATATAGAGAGTGGGAGGCACCCTGAAAATTACATCAAGTACTCTGTTGAAGATCTTGAGACTGCAGTATTGGATTTCTTTGAAGGGTGTGCAGTTTCACAGCATTCAAGGAGAAGATCACAGTGAGAATTTGGAAAGGGTTTAGGGTATTATATTAATAGGACACAATTCTTTAATTTTTTTTGGGTGATTGGTTCTTATGACTCCAAACTTCTGATCATGGGGAATGGATGAAGGAAAGAAGCAGTATACAGTATACTCCCCTGTAAGCATTGTTGTTTTATTTGTTCAAGATTTTTGTTTCACTTTGTTTGGATGCCAACTTTTTTGTACATGTTTTTTTTTTCTCTTGTTATTACACGAAAATCAATATTCTCAAAACAGATATATGAGTTTAGTAATTGCTCTGTTTGGAATACCAAGAAGTTCAAACAAAGATTAATTCTACTTCTTTTTCCTCTTTCAATCTCCCAAAAGCTCTCAAACTCAACTATCCAATAGTCATTGACCAAAAGTGGTACTTTGAAAAAATGTTCCAACAAATTAATCGAACCCCTTTTTCCATCTTTTATAGCCTAGAAGCTAAAAGTTGGATAAAGGAAATTGGTAGTTGAGAAGTAGTAGTCAAGCATTAACAACATCGAATTTTTACAATGCCCACTTTCTATAGTGATGCAAATTCAAGAACTCAACAATCGATTTAATGAAAATAACACGACATTACTTGTATCTTTTAGAAAATGTTAATGATCAATTTAAGACTCCCCGAAAGATGCAACCTGGAAATATGAAAATTTTAATCAAAAGATACGACCTAAATCTAAGCCGGATGTGGAGAGCATGTTGATTAAGGCGCATATAGCACACACTTGAAACAAATTACACCCATATAAAATTCATAGCAAAATATGTGAATACTAATAAAAAAAAAAGATACATGTTCAAATGTTACACTACTTCAAAAATAGATATTCCTTCTTATAGTTTTAGATTAATCTTTCTCTTCAAGCAAGATAGCTCCGTATTGTTCATTGATCTTAAATTCATCTAATTCATATTCAACATCTTAATTCACTTCCTGCTCATCTTCGGACTCAAATTCTTTTTGATCAAGTTCTCTACAAAAATTCTTTGATATTTTTTAGATATTCATCGGCACCCTTGGATTCACTAACCGCCTTCCAAGGTAGTGCGAACTTAACTTCATCTACGACTGCATCACCTTCCACAATCCTATCTTGAGCCTCAATTCATCGATCACTAATAGTACTTCCATACCCTTAAACATCATTTTTTGTTAGTTTCCATCAAATTTGTATTAAATTAAACAAAACCAAGATTGATTGCCTCTTGTCTATTTTTTTCTTTGTATATACTTACAAAATTAAAATTAAGCAAAAAAAGATTTAATAAATATATAATATATGTTAACTAATTAACAATTATTATATATACTAATTTCAAACTTGAAATGAATAGTGAACTTGATGCATTTAGATTTTTGCCATAAATATTTTTAAATATTGGCATATTTAATCCTTATAATATTGTAATTTACAGAAAATGTTTTTTTTTTTTTACAGAAATAGTCTTTATATTTAAGATTTTTATACGCTGATAGTTTTGGCTCATGTGTAAAAAATAAATTACAAAGTTACCCGTGTAATTTATAGAAAATGTCATTGTGTAATTTTTTTTACATAAATGATCCATGTGTTTAAAAAAATTACAAAAATAGTCAGTACCTAATAGAAAATTTGCAGACTACACCCCGCACACCCCTACAATATATTGACATGTTTCGTCCCTACACTTTTTTGGTTTCACACTTTGGTCACATAAGTTTTGTATATTTGCAAGTTTGCTGCCTACACTTTCGTAGTTATACAAGTTCGGTTCCCCGCGAAGCAGAGGTAGTAACTTACTAGTTATGGCTAAAATTATTAACCTCTTTAAAAGTACATCAATTTCTTTTACATCCCAACGAACTAGTAGTTGAAAAACAATCTTCGTAATAATTTTTATCAATCGAGGAGTTTGAGCTTACCATAAGCTCCACCAATTGGCTACGATTTAAAAACAAACATATTATTAAATTGATAAATTTGAATTTTACTGAATATATAAAATATAAAAATGCAGTACTCGGATCAAATTTGTCGTCATTCACCTCACATCCTTTAAATATAACTTTTCGACTAAAATTTTCTAGTTTACCCTTATACAACAACAATTCAACCACCACGATGATATGTTTTGCTAAGTGTGATCTCTTGAAAATATTGTATCAACAAAATCAATAATTGCATCCGTCACAATGATATCATTTTGGATATCCAGATTTTTATAAAGATAATATGAGTTTAAAAGTTAATGTGACTTCATATCAAGCCTATCTTGAATCATTTTTAGAGGATATCCAAAATTGGCTTGTAAGTTTTTTTATTATTGCCCGAAGCATCGATAGTTTTTTGTTCCACGCTTTGAATCTCGCCATATATAAACCCATGGATGGATACAAAGAACTTTGACAAAAGGGGCTAAAACCTTTAACAAAAACTATGTTGTCCCAAAATGTGGTACTTACCATGATTGCATATGTCGATTTCCCTTGAACTGTCTTGAAATTTTTTACATATTTTCCATTCCTCGCTACTAAACATGTGTCTTAGTTGGGCTATCTTATTGGCCAAACTTTGAAAAGTGAGAAACATATAAACAAGTCTTGTAACTCCCGGTCTCATAATATCCCTTTTCTTAGTCTAGTCAATGCCGCATTTTTAAGATAGGAATAAATAAACAATGTTAGTTTGCTTGATTAAGATTTTTATAATTTGTATCCCACCAATACTATTTAGAATAAATCTCTGATTGGTTACACTAAAAAATAACATAGGGAAGCTCGAATATAAAGGGACATAACCTAAAAGTTAATGTGTCACAACCCCAGTCGGCGGCGGAAACACCGGGCGGTGTAACGTCATTCCTTGTATCACAGATATATAACATATATTGAATAGTACACAAGAGTTTTATAAACTACATACCTTTATTGATGATAGAAAGTTACGTTATTCTTGTTTCCTAATACTTATCATATAGTGTCCGAACTATCACACACGTCTTAAGACACTTTAGTGGACTCAGATCTGTGTTTGGAGCTTAAGGTCTTAAGGGATTAAGCACTTTTGGAGTTTATGGCTTAACAGGGTAGTACGTTGGGCGTACAAGCCCGTACGCACTGTTGGATTAGGTGTCTAAGCCCATAACTATAATTGGTATGTACTTGAATTGATAGCAGCACAGTCT